GTTAAATTTGGTTAAATCCTCTTTTCCCTCTGAAAAATCTCCCGACCCTCTTTGCTACCAGAGGCAGAGCCACAGCCCTGTGTGTTGCTGGCTGAAATTTCATTAAAATCAGATTAATTATCTGACAGGGGTTTGTAGGTGGTGAGATTTTCACCCAGGAGATGCCAGTTCTGCAGTTGGCACAGCACAGGCTGGGGCAGGGCTGGGGCTGGTTTTAATCACAACCTTTATTATTTTATAGTGGTTAATGAGTTGCTGGCTGCTCCTGTGACTTGCTTTGCATAACGGGATCACCAGGCAAAGCCCTGGGAGGGGCAGTGTTGGGTGAGGGAAGGAGGAAAACTGTGTTTAATGAAGGTTGCTCTGTCCACCAGGAGGTTTGGTTGGTTTTTTTGTTTGCTGGTGAGCTGCAAAAATGGTAACAATGGCAAGAAATTGTGGGATCCAGAGGAAGGGAAAGATGAGCTCGTTCTTGAAAGCTGAGGGGATGGTGGAACATCCAGAACCTCTCAGTTCTGGATTTCCAAGTGACTTGTGTTTGGGGACCTGATTAGGCCTCTCTAGACCACATCCCAGGGACCTCCAGGACCTGGGAGTGCTGGCCCAAGGCTGGTGGCTCCACTTGGATGAGTTTTCACTACTTGGAGCCAGGATTTAGGAGGAGAGACCAAATTGCTCTCCAGGGGCAGTGACCATTTGCACAGGTGTGAATGACCTGACCCTCGTAATGCTGCCCTTCTCCTCCCTCTGCAGCCCTGGACGGACGAGTGGAACGTTTGACAATGAGGTGGTGATGATGAACCATGTCTACAAGGAGAGGTTCCCCAAGGTAACAGCCAGGACCTGAGGGATGAGTGTGTTGGTGCCTCCATGGCATCCTGGCAGTGCCTTCACCTCCCTGTGGGTGTGTGGAATGCATGGGTAGATCATGGGGGGTGTTGGGGACACTGGAGATACAACAAACCTGGGGTTTGTTATCCACACAAGCAGGCACAGGGCTCTGGAGACTTTGGTGGAGCTTTTGCAGTCTGTTGGAAGCTGGTTCCCAGGTGGGGGCCTTGATGTGCATGTGGATATTTGAGCTTCAGGAGGTGGTGGGATGAGATTCTGGATGGCCAAACCCAGTGCAGGAGGTGGGATGAGATTCTGGATGGTCAAGTCAAATGCAGGAGGTGGTAGGGTGAAATCCTGACTAATAAAACCCAGTGCAGGACGTGGTGGATTGAGATCCTGGCTGGCCAAACACAGTCCAGGAAGTAAGATGAAATCCTGGATGGTCAAATCAAATGCAGGGGGTGATAGGATGAGATGCTGACTGATAAAAACCAGTGCATGAGGTGGTGGGATGAGATTCTGGATGGCCAAACCCAGTCCAGGAGGTAGGGTGAGATCCTGGATGATCAAATCAAATGCAGGAGGTGGTAGGATGAGATCCTGACTGATAAAATCCAGTGCAGAAGGCGGAAGGATGAGATCCTGGCTGGCCAAACCAAGTGCAGGAGGTGATAGGATGAGGTCCTGACTGATAAAATCCAGTACAGGAGGTGGTAGGATGAGATCCTGGCTGGTCAAACACAGTCCAGGAAGTAGGATGAGGTCCTGGCTGGCCAAACCCATGGCATGGGGACGTGTGTTCCTGGCCATCACCATCCTCTCCACCTTGCAGGCCACAGCCCAGATGGAGGAGCGCCTGCAGGACACCATCACCAACTTCTCCCCGAGCAGCACCCTGCCCCTGGCTGATGGGGTGCTGGGCTTCATCCACCACCAGATCATCGAGCTGGCCCGAGACTGCCTGGCCAAGTCCCAGGGAGCTCTCATCACCTCCCGCTACTTCATGGAGCTGCAGGAGAAGCTGGAGAAGATGCTCCGAGACGTGAGTACAGGGCAGTTCCCTGTCTGGTGCCACCTGGTGAGGCCACCAAGAGACACCTGGATTCTGTCTCCACTCCCAACAGGCTCAGGAGCGTTCTGAGAGCGAGGAGGTGAAGTTCATTGATCAGCTGGTGAGGAAGCTGCTGATCATCATCTCCCGGCCTGCCCGACTTCTGGAGTGCCTGGTAAGACATGGAGGCTCCTGTCTTGTCTTTCATGGTCTATGCCAGCCCAGAGAGGAGGCAAAGCCTCCAGGATGCCCCTGGATCTCTGGAAGTGTCCAAGGCCAGGTTGGATGGGGCTTGGAGCAACCTGGAATGGTGGAAGGTGTCCCTTCCCATGGCAGGGGGTTGGAATGAGATTATCTTTAAGTTCCCTTCTGACCCAAACCATTCTGTGACTCTGTGGTTTTCAGGTTTTTCGGTTTTTCTTTTTGGTTGATTTGCTCAATTTCTAAAGCAGTGACCTTGTGCTGTGGTTCCTGATGAAATTTTCATCTCCATTAGTTTTCCTTCCAAGGTCAACTCACAGAGCTACATTTTTTTTTCCATCACCCTTGACCTGGGGAATGATGCATCCGGCGCCTGTCCCCAGTCACAGGTGTCACCTGCAAGGCTTAGAGTGAAAATTTAACTTTGCAAAATCTCTCTCCTCAACTGTACTTGGTTTTCCCCATCCAGGAGTTCGACCCAGAGGAGTTTTACCATCTCCTGGAAGCTGCAGAAGGACATGCCAAAGTTGGACAGGGAATAAAGACTGATATTCCCCGATACATCATCAGCCAGCTGGGGCTCGTCAAGGACCCACTGGAGGGTAAGGAACCACTCTGAGGTCTGCAGGAGGATGTGGACTCCCAGTTTGGCCACTGGTGATCCCAACTGAGCACTGGGGGGTGTCAGGGAGACCTGCAGGGCTGAGCTGGTGTCATGGCAGGGAGGTCACAGCAGGACCAGGACGATGGCCAAGTCCTTCTGGCCAGCCCCACATCCCTTATTATTGCTTCCAACACGTTCAGCAAAGCAGATTAAGCTCAAAAACACTTAATCCATGGCCCTGGGGGGTGAATCATAATCCCCGGAGAACGCAGGAATGACTATCAAAAAAAAAAAAAAAAAGAATTATATAAATGTTTAACCTTGTGTTGAACCTCTTAACGTCATGACCTGAATTTCTCCATAGGATAATGTGGCCAAATCCCCATGGGGTCCCTGGGTTTGGGGGGAGAGTGGTTGGGCAGGGGGTGATTTTGGTGGGTGTTGAGCATGAGGAAAGTGAAAACCACCCCTGTGATCTGCAGAAATGGGGCAGCTGGATCACTTTGACAGCGGGAACACCATCACACCGGAGAACGATGACACCTGTGAGGTGAGCGTGGTCCCACCTGCTGCTTCCAGCTTCCTCCCACCTCACCCCACACCAGAGCTCCTGGCAGCTGTCCTAGACTGGGAGCTGTTCATTTTGGATTGTCCCCAGGGGTGATTCATGTACTCAAGGGGAAGATCTCACAGTCCCTCATTTGGCTTCTTGAGTGGACAGAGCTCAGAGTGGGCTCGATCTGCAGACCATCTCAGGCTTCTGCTTTGGGGTTTGACACTGGGGAGGGCTCTGGCAGAAAGAAGCTTTTGGAGGTGGTACATGATGGTGCTGGTTGACTTCCTCCTTCATTAAAAACCTGTGTGTTCCTCAGAGCCAGCCTTCAATCCCCGTGCCACGGAGGAAGCCCTGCGAGGGGGACTTTGAGACCATCAAGCTGATCAGCAATGGGGCTTACGGGTGAGTTGGGGAGCTCCTATCAGTTGTCTCCATCTGTAAATGACTCCAAAGCCTTTCTTTGTCCATGCCCCACAGTGCTGGTGGCTGGAGGATGTGTGTTGAGGTCCGGCTGTTCCTCCAGGGCCGTGTACCTGGTGAGGCACAGGGAGACGCGGCAGCGCTTCGCCCTGAAGAAAATCAACAAGCAGAACCTCATCCTGAGGAACCAGATCCAGCAGGTGTTTGTGGAGAGGGACATCCTCACCTTTGCTGAAAACCCCTTTGTGGTCAGCATGTTCTGCTCCTTCGAGACCAAGCGGCACCTCTGCATGGTCATGGAGTACGTGGAAGGTGAGAGCAGAGCTCGGGGCTGAGTGGTGCAGGGAGGAGGGGAGGATATCAAAGCCTGAGCATCAAGGACACCATCTGGACATCTCCTACCCTGCTGTGCTCCAGGAAAGCACAAGGAGATGATTTTGTGATCCTGATCTCCTTGATGAAGGTGGTGACCATGGTCACCGATGGGAGTATTTGTGCCCCGTGCCAGGGGATCAGCTGCTCAGAGGGGCTGGCTGGGAGCCTGCTGGTCCTGCTGAGCTCGCTGCCTTCCCTGAGCCCCCCGTGTCCCCACAGGGGGGGACTGTGCCACGCTGCTGAAGAACATGGGCCCCCTGCCCGTGGACATGGCCAAGATGTACTTTGCCGAGACCGTTCTTGCCCTGGAGTATCTCCACAACTACGGCATCGTGCACCGGGACCTCAAACCTGACAAGTGAGCCTGTGGGGCAGCTCTGAGCAAGGGTGGGGCTTTGAATGGGGAAGGGAAAGCCAAGAGGGAAGGGCGGAATGGGTTTTGTTCCTCAGAGACTGGTTCTGTGCTGTTGCATCAGGACCAGAGGCCCTGGGGTGCGGCTGGTCCATCTCAAGTCTCCCCAGAAGCAACCAGCAGCATTGTGGGGTGTCTGTTTTCTCCTGCAGTTTGCTCATCACCTCCATGGGCCACATAAAGCTGACAGACTTTGGTCTGTCAAAGATTGGCCTGATGAACATGACCACGAACCTCTACGAAGGGCACATGGAGAAGGACACGCGGGAGTTCATGGACAAGCAGGTACGAGGTCCTGCTCCACGTGGCTGACCTGCCATCCCTGATAACCTCAGGATTTGTTGCAAAGGTCACTGCAGAGGTGTGAGCCCCTGCTTCCCTCACAGGTGTGTGGCACTCCGGAGTACATTGCCCCTGAAGTCATCCTCATCCAGGGCTATGGGAAGCCCGTGGATTGGTGGGCCATGGGCATCATCCTCTACGAGTTCCTGGTGGGCTGTGTCCCCTTCTTCGGAGACACCCCCGAGGAGCTCTTCGGGCAGGTCATCAGTGGTGAGTGCCAGGGACACATTTGTGCTCCCAACAGCCAAAGATCCTCCTTTAACACGTGGGAAGCTCCATTCCTTCCTGTCACCCTCACTGAGCAGCGAGGAGGCTCCTCAAGCTTTGACTCCCCACTTTGGGAGAGCCCTTCCCCTGCTGCAGCTCCTGGGAGACTTTCCTGCTGCCCAGAAGTGTCCAAACCCTTCCAGCCACCCCAACCCTCTTTTCCTTTTTCCTTGCAGATGAAATTATGTGGCCAGAAGGGGACGAGGCTCTCCCTGCAGATGCCCAGGACCTGATCACACGGTTGCTGAGGCAGTGTCCCCTCGAGCGCCTGGGCACTGGTGAGCATGGCAGCCCCCTTAGGGGCACCTTGTTTCCCATCAAATTTATATGGCTTTGAGTCCAAAGCATGTCCTGCCATGCTGAGGGTGCTCAGAGGAAGTGTCCTGCTTCACAGGGCTCCTGTCTATCTTTTTTAAGCTGTTTGCTCTGTGTGGAGGGCAGACTGTGCTGTTTAGGGTGGCAGTGGGAGCCCCCTGGATCCTGCCCCATGCCCCTGACGTGGGTTTCTCTGCCTGGCAGGAGGTGCACACGAGGTGAAGCACCATTCCTTCTTCCTCCATCTGGACTGGAACGGGCTGCTGCGGCAGAAGGCCGAGTTCATCCCCCAGCTGGAGTCGGAGGATGACACCAGCTACTTTGACAGTGAGGCCAAATCCATCCTTCTTCCACCTCTGCCAATCCATTATCCCAGCTGCACTTTGGATGCTCCCACAGGGGATGAAAATCTCCTGGGTGAAGCTGGTCGCTTTTCAACCCAAATCACAAAAGAGATACAATCCTCTTTGCAGGCTGCTCACCCTTACCTGCTTCATCCCCCAGAACTCCCCTGGGGTTTGGGGCTGGGCTGTCACCCTTTGGGGCCCTGCTGCAGGCAGCATGTGGGGTGTTTCAGGCAGGGTGACATCCCTTCCCCTCTGGCTGCAGGCAGGGTGACATCCCTTCCCCTCTTGCTTTCAGCCCGCTCTGAGAGGTATCGTCACTTGGACTCAGAGGATGAGGAAACCAACGATGAGGAATCATCAGTGGAGATTGGGCAGTTCTCCTCCTGCTCCCACCGCTTCAGCAAGGTGCTCCAGCCCCTCCTGCAGCATCCCAAATGCTGTGGCACCACAAACAGCGTGGCTGTGCCGAGCATCGCCGTCTTAGCTGACACCACAGCACCCAAACTCCCAAATTTCTGCTCCTTGCTGATGGCTCCTCTCCCCCTCAGGTGTACAGCAGCTCAGAATTCCTGGCGGTCAACTCCACCCTGAGCCTCTCCTCCTCTGACCGGAGTCACTGCGATGACAAGGAGGAGCGGTGGGACCGGCACTCGGGGGATGAGGACAGGAGCAGGCCAGCGGGCACCGAGCCCCGGTGAGTGGCCAGGGGGGCTGCACTGATGGGGTGGGCTCCTGACGGTGCCCAGGGCTTGTGTCAGGACCAAGGGTTTGTGCCAGGACCAAGGGTTTGCACCAACACTGAGGGTTTGTGCTGGGATCAAGAGTTTGTGCTGACACCACGGGTTCGTGATGGCACTGAAGGGTTTGGTTATTCCTGAGGGGTCAGGGGGATGTGTCCTGGGGGTGCTGCAGTGGCTCGGTGCCATCTGCCTTGCCCACCCTGGGTTATCCTGAGCCCTCCTGCTCTTCCCCACAGCCTGCGCTCCTGGACGTCCGGCAGCTCCAGCTCCCGGCACGAGCGGAGCCGCAGCCCCACGGCACTGCCCAGCACCCTCAGCCTGGACACCATGCCCAAGTTTGCCTTCTCCTCGGAGGATGAGAGCCCTTGTGTGGCATCCAAGCCAGAGAGACCCAAGTTTGTGGTGGGAGACTCGGACGCGGGGACTGGCGGCGCGGTGAAGCAGTCGGCGTTATCTGGTGAGTAGGCTGTGGGCAGTGTGGGGATCTCTGGGGACAACCAGGGTCCTGCAGTA